AAGTCCTACCTAGAAAAGCAGGAACAGCAGAGATGGTAGCAGAGACGGTGGCGTGGAGAGATAGAGCAGCTGTGGGCTTTAGATCCATGGACTGAGGAAGACTGTGTGCCTGTGGACAGGAAGTTGGCTTGCAGAATATGCCCTTAGGAAATTTAAATGAATATATATTTTTGTTTTGTATGTGTGCATCAAATATTTTTGCTGTGTGCATTTGTGAAATATAAGATGTAAAAGGGAAGCCACAGGGAGGAAGTAGGGATAACTGTTGTTACAGTTATAATTATAATCATTGAGATGAAACAAAGCATATAATTTGTTGAATGCAAAGCTGATTATCTTGTCTGTTGACCTTCACTCAATTCACAATAGAAAGTTAAAAGCAATAAAACAAAACAAAACAAAAAACTCAGTGCAGTACTGGTACAATGAAAGATGCAGATATCAATGGAACAGAATTGACAACCCAGAAGCAAATCCATCTATATGTCATCAACTGAGTTTTGACAAAGGGCCAAACCATATTAAATGAGGAAGAGATAGTTATCTTCAACAAATGGTGCTGGTGATACTGAAAATCCATTTGCAGAATAATGAAACAAGACCTTTATATCTCACACCATATACAAAAATAAACTCAACGTTGATTAAAGACATAAATGTAAAACCTTGAACTGTAAAGATCATCAATGAAAAAATAAGGACAAACTTAGGAGCTCTAATACATGCCATAAATACATTGTCCAATATTACTAAACACACACAAATAGTAGAAGACAAAATAGATGATGACTGGGATCTCCTAAAAATCAGGCACTTAGGTGCATCAAAGATTTTGCCAAAAGAGTGAAAAGGGAGCTCACATACTGGGAAAAAATTTTTTGCAACAACTTATCAAACAAGAGACTAATATCTAAAATTCATAGAAAATGACAACTGTACAAGAAAAAGACTATTTAAATTTGTAAAGGGACACAGGGCATAGATAGACACTTAACCAAGGAAGACATTCAGGCAGCCAACAAACATATGAAGAAATGTTCATAATTATTAGCCATTGTTGTTGTTGTTAAGTGCTGCCAAGCTGATTCTGACTCATAGTGACCCTGTACAGGGTTTCCAAGGAGCAGCCAGTTTAAACTGCCCATCTTGTGGCTTGTGGTCCAGTGCTGATCCTACAGCACCACACCAGGAGTCCAGAAAGATGTGAATCAATACAACAACGATTTATCATCTCACTCCAACATTAATAGCAGAGTTAAAAAAAAAATCTGGCAAGGGGCTGGAAAGATTGGGACACTTGTATTGCTGGCGGGACTGTAAAATGGTTCAACCCCTGTGGAAAATGGATGGTACTTCCTCAGACAGTTGGAAACAGAAATACCATATGACCCATCAATTCCTGTACTTGGTACATACACACAAGAAATAAGATCCAGAACACAAGGAGATAATATATACACTGATGTTCATTGCAGCTCTATTCACAATAGCGAAGAGATTGAGAGAACCTAAAGTGGAAGTGGAAGGAACAGACAAACTTTGGTACGTACATACAATGTAATACTATGCAGCATTGAAGAATAACCATGAATCTACGAAACACCTTATAACATGTATGAAACTGGAGGACTTTATGCTGAGTGAAATCAGTCAATCACAAAAGGACAAATATTATATGAGACCATTAATGTAAAACCTCAAGCAAAGGTTTTCATACTAAAAGAAATATTCTTTGATAGTTACCAAGAGTGAGAGGAAAGGAAGAGTAATTCACTGGTTTGAACATGTTGTTGTTATGTGCAGGGGAGTCGGTTCCGACTCATAACGACCCTGTACAGGGTTTCCGAGGCTGTAAATCTTTATGGGAGCAGAAAGCCTCATCTTTCTCCCATGGAACAGCTGGTGGTTTCGAACTGCTGACCCTGTGGTTCGCTGCCCGATTTTTAACCACTACGCTACCAGAGCTCCTTTGATGTGGTTTACTCTAGTGATGGGGAGGGCAACATATAAGAAGCCAGAGGTTGGCAGAAGAACTGTGAGGAGAGGTGAGGACACAGAGGGGTATGCAAAGGCTAAAGGGAGTGATATACCCACAATCTTGGAACAATCATGTTCTGCAGGTAGATACATGGACAGAGACACAGGCAGAATGGGTGTGGGAGGAAGAGAGGCACAAATATATGCGCTTGAAAGAGGATATGGGTATTTACATTTCCTGCAAACACAACTATGAATGTGGTGGAGCATACAGCCGGCAAAATGATGAAAACTTGGTAGATATCATCAGGCATCTTAAGGCAATAAGTTGCTGGGTCTGAGGTCTCATGACCATAGTCTTAAGGGACACCATGGCCAATTGGCATAACACAGTCCACAAAGACAATGTTCTATATCCAACTTTGGTGAGTAGCATCTGAAATCTTAAAAGCTCATTGTTGTTGTTGTTGTTAAGTGCCATAGAGTCGGTTCCGACCCATAGCGACCCTGAGCAGGGTTTCCGAGCTGCTCATTAGCAGCTGTCTAAGGAAGACTAGAAGAATCGATGCTTCTGAGTTGTGGTGTTGGAGGAGACTATTGAAAGTGCCATGGGCTGCCAAAAGAACGAACAGATCTGTGTTGGAATACGTGCACCCAGAGTGCTCCTTGGAGGCCAGGATGGCCAAACTTCGTCTCTCATACTTCGGACATATTGTCAGGAGGGACGAGTTGCTGGAGATGGATATCATGTTTTGTAAGGTGGAGGGTCAGAGAAAAAGAGGAAGACCCCCAGCGAGATGGATTGGCCAAGTGGCAGCATCAATGGGCTCAAGCATGGCAACAATTGTGAGGTTGGCCCAGGACCAGGCAGTGTTTCGTTTTGTTGTGCATAGGGTCATTATGAGTCGGTACCTAACAACAACAACAAAGGTGCAGCTATTGGTCTCTCCTTGTGCAGGAGAAATAAGAGTGATAAGAATTAAAGAGGCTTGGGATCAATTTGCCCAGTGGACTAATGGAATATGTAAACATTAGTCTCCATGAATCTGAGACCAGAAGAACTAAATGGTACCCGGCTATCATTACCAAGTGCTCTGAAAGGGACCACATTAGAAGGTCCTGGGTAGAGCAGCACAATTACAAAACTCAAAATTTAAATAATAATCATAAAAAAGACCTGGTGTACTGGTCCGAAAAAGACTTGAAGAATTTGAGACTATGGCTCTTGACCTCTCTTCAGGTTTGAAAAGGAACTCAACCTTGTGGTCCAACTTTCCGTCAAGCATTAGCTAGATATATAGAAGGGACACCAACACTAGAAAGTTACGCTCAGTGTAAACGATGGAATGGTCCATCATTCAAATTCAAAAGGGCAGCATTCAAATTCAAAAGGGCAGCATTGAGAAGGGATGGGAAGGAGGGTGGACTGGAAACAGGAACCAGGGAGGAAGCGGGATAACTGTTGTTACATGGAGGGGATTGTAATCCTTGAGATGAAACAAAGTGTCTGACTTATTGAATGTAAAACTGTTGATCTTGTCTGTACCCTTCACTCACGTCACAGCAAAAAGTTTAAAAAGGAAATATCATGACTTGGGTCAAATGTACCTTATTCCTCAAAGTGACATCTTTGCTTTTCAACACTTTACAGAGATCTTTTGCAGCAGAGTTGCCCCATGTAATACCTTGTTTGACTACTGTTGTTGTTGTTGTTAAGTGCTGTTGAGTCATTCTCACCCATAGTGACCCTGTATAGGGTTTCCGAGGAGCAGCTGGTGAGCTTGAACCATTGACCTTGCAGTTCAAACAACTTTGCAATGTGGCACATTAACCCACAGTGCCACACCAGGACTCTTGGCTTACCCTAGACAGTTCTAAACTGTGAGATAGATTTCTATTTATCATAAGAAAAATAATCTCTCAGACTTTTGCAGTTTCCTTAGCTGACATGGAGCTAGCTGACTTTCAACTCATGGTGACCCAGTTCTATGACGTGATTGGTCCATTGTGACCCATAAGTTTTTCATTGGCTGATTTTTGGAAGTAGATCTTCAGGCCTTTCCTCCTATTTTGTCTCAGTCAAGAAGCTTGGCTGAAATCTGTTGAGTAACATAGCTACCCACAAGCCTCTAGGGATAGATGGTAGTCATCCATGAGGTACATTGGTGAGGAAAAGAACATAAATCCCTACACATAAGGCATGAGTTTTCCCACTGCGTATGTGCAGAACGGAGTCCTGGTGTGGCGCTGTGCGTTAATGCGTCAGACTGCAAAGCCGTTTGGACTGCAAGGTTGGCAGTTCAAGCTCACCAGCCACTCCTCGGAAACCCTACACAGGGTCACTATTGGTCGGAACCAACAACAACAATGTGCAGAATGTTGAGGAGCTGCTCGTACTCTGGTGGCATAGTGGCTAAGTGCTTGCCTGATACCTGAGATGTTGGCGGTTCAAATCCATCAGCTACTCCCTGGGAGAAACATGGGGTAATCTGCTTCTGTAAATACTAATCACTGTCGCTAAGTGGATTCTGACTCAGAGTGACCCTGTAGGATGGAATAGAAGTGCCTCACAGGATTTCCAAGACTGTAAATCTTTATAAAATTCATCTGACACATATTTCTCCTCTGAGTGACTGGTAGGTTTGAACCATCAACCTTTTCGTTAGCTGTTGAATGGTTAACTGCTGCACTGCCAGGGTTCCCTCCCATAAAGAAAACAGACTTAGAAACCCTTTGGAGGCAGCGTCCTACTGGGTCACTATAAATCAGAAATCTGTCTTTGACAGAGCAGCCCATGGCTAGTTGGAAACCTCGGAATCTCCTGAAATCAATCTCTCATGACCCAATTTTTACAGAAGAGGGGATTTCCCCAGTCAGTAATGATGGCTTCCGGGGTCTTAGTCTCTTCAGAACTTCCACTGATTCCCAGCACCCCACCATGCCAAGACAAACAAAGACAGGCAAGAAGCCCAGTTGAATTGTTGAGTTTATTGAGGGAAATCTAGAATTCTTTCAGGGTTAACCCCTGTTTGTAGTTTTCTTGATCCAGTCCTGGTAGCGGCAGAGGTTGGTATAGACACCAGGTTTCTTCGGCTGCCCACAGGGGTCTGAGCCCCAGGATGTGATGCCTTGGAGAACGCCATTACACACTAGGGGGCCCCCAGAATCGCCCTGTAAGGTAAAGGTCAGAGAAATTTCACCTAACAAGTCCACAAAGTTGTTTCCCTTTAGTACATCTTGTTTAGCATAATTGCTCCCTTTCAGCCAATGGGGATTAAGATCATTCCCCTCTGGGGCAAATCATGAAACACAGGAGTGGGGTTTCCATGTATGAGGATACAGACAGTTTGTTTAAGGACATTGGCACAAATCCTGGCCAATCATGGAAGAGAATGCTGTCTTAAGGGTTCAATCCAGAGATACGAGAGTAGGGATTACATGGCATGGAGATCTCCTGTATTCTAGGCCAGTGGTGACGAGGTTACTACTGAGTCCAGTTACCAGTATTCTTCATGCGTGCCCATGTACATGTGTTCACACATACACACCTGATTTCCAGTAAACAATAATCTTTATGGATAGAAAACATTGTCTCTAGGGGATAACTCAGCCTGGCTTACTCAGAAGTCTCATGGATGGGAAATGGCTCCATTTTTGACCAATGGGGAAGACTGTAGTGTCTTCAAGAACCAATCATTAGTCAAAAGGGTGGGGCTTCCATGAAAGGGACCAATCCAGAGGAAGTTGTGAACACAATAGACTGAAGTTGTGGCCAATAGGAAAGCAAGTGTTATACCCATGACAAGTCCTAAGAGGAGGGGATGGAAAGCCAATTGAGAAAAGGACATTGTTCCCTAAGGAACAATGTAAAGGAGAAGGGAGTCAGACTTGGGAATCCACATTCATTGCCTCAGAGTTGGTTCTGACTCACAGCAACCTGACAGAACAGAATAGAATAAACCAAAGGGTGTCCAAACTGTAATCTGTATGGAAGCAGATTTCTGTATCTTTCTGCCGCAGAGCAGTTAGTGGGTTCAAGCTGTCCACCTTTTGGTTAACAACTGAGCACTTAATCCTCTGTTCCCAGGATTGCTTTGGGAACCCAATCAGTTCCCAAAGGAAAGTGGGTCCACCAGGGCAGAGGTAGAATCAGTCCAAATTCCAGGAACAAACACTAGGAAAGAAAATAGGGTGCTTGCCTATTTTCTAGCTCCAAACTCTTTCATCCGTTTTGGTCCCCCACCACAGCTTGCACCCCACACTGATAACAGGAGTTTCTAATAAAACAAACCCCACTGCTGGTGAGTCCATTTCCCCTCATAGTGACCCCATAGGACAGAGGAGAACTGCTCCCGAGGGTTTCCTAGGCTGTTACTCTTTATGAAAGTAAATAACCACATCTTTATCCTATGGAGCAGCTGGTGGGTTTGAACTACCAACCTTTCAGATAATAATCCAATGCTTAACTGCAAGAAATTAGCTGTAACAATTCAGCTCTCCCAACTCCTGTATTGTGACTCTTTGCGAGAGTTTGTCCTTCTTTGAATCTGGTTCTCACTCTCTTGAGATAGTGGTGGCTACTCTGGCTGTGAACTCTTTGGGAAAACTCTACAGGGAGGTAAGGGAATGAGAAAGGAAGGTGAATCTGAACATCACTCACCTGACACGTGTCGGCTCCATCACTGCCAATTGCACAGACCATCCCTTTTGTGACCTTTCCAGGGTAGGCATTCTCACACTCCTTCTGGGCAACGATTTTTACTTGTGCACAGTTGAGGGTGTCAGGAAAATTCTCTGAGGGGGAAGAGGTCGTAAGTTTGCTTCATGTCTATCTAGACCAAACCACCCTTCTGCCTGCAGCTTCATGGGAAGTTTTCTGACATGTTTCTCAGGGTATAGCTCTTCTCTTCACAGTAAAAGTGTGAGGACCATGAATGATAGTAGATGGGTCTTGCCCACAAAGGACTCTGGGAGAGAATCAAGGTATCTTGATTCAACATACCAAACACCACTGAACTCCATGGCAATATCAATTGGAATCGACTAACTAGCGTAAAAGCAACACCATCCATCTTAAGATTGTTATTAATGTCTGAATCTGCTGCCATTTTTACTCCATCCTGTGAGGTCATGCACGCAAAGGGCTCTGGGAGATCACAGAGTACCTGGGCCAGGAAAAGCACACCAAACACCACTGGACTCCATAGCAACATCAATTGGAATGCATTTACTAATATAAAACAGCCCCATCATAAGTGAAGTTGCATTTTGGGGATTTCAGC